TAGACCGCTCGTGAATAATTAGAGAGTGCTAAAGGGTGCCGTACTATCTCCGTTTTTGCTTTCCACCTGTGACCTGTCAGCGAGTTCTCCAGCCCAATTATTTAAATACCCTGACGACGTCGCTCTCTATCAAGCCATTTGTGTGCCTAAGGACCCTCTAAATTTCTCGAACAAGCTGTCGCATATCCAAGTATTTTCCGTTCGTCCTGACTGTCTCTTAACTTATCCAAGTGCTTAGAATGCACATTCTCCCTCTCTATTTGTCCCGGTGACCCCTCGATCATAAACACAGATCTCCTAACTAGAATAGATTCCGTGAATTATTTGGGAGTTACAGTCGATACAAGCTTAAAGTGGACATCCCATATTTACATATTTACAGTTCCGACAATGCTCACTCTAGGATGGAGCACTGTGTCCTAGCTCAGCATTCACGTACATCTTTTAAAAATTCATTTCAGCAGTTTTTCATGAAATCGAAAGCCATCAGTTCTGTTTATTTACAGTTTTTGACATTGCCCATGAACTGCAATTCGGCATAAAACCTCTAACCCTGCCGTTGTATTATGGCGTTGAAGGCACTGCAATCTTCGATGTAGTAAACGATGAAGGCAAAGGATTTTGCGGTGTTTTTCGTTTCTTTTGTCGTATACCTTAATGCCATACCATGTGGCTTTGTGTTTGACGATGCCTCGGCTGTAAAGGATAACCAAGATTTACGACCAACTACCAGTTGGTTGGAGTTGTTCAAAAATGACTTTTGGGGCACACCTATGCAACAAGTATGTCAGTGTTTTCCGGTAACCATAACCTCGTAATAGGAAAGAAGTCACAAATCCTATCGGCCAGTGACGGTTCTCACATTCCGTTGGAACTATATGCTACACGAACTTCATCCATCCGGATATCATCTAGTTAATGTTGTTTTGCATTCAATTGTCGCAGTGCTTTTCTACAGGTAAATTACTCCCAACTGGAATTTACTTTTTCGCACTGTCAGACTCAGTTCAGGATTTTTGGACGAGGAAGCGGCATTTGTCAGTAGCCTCTTTTTCGCTCTTCCCCCGGTGCACACAGAAGCCGTAAGATCTCATCTAAAATAAATGATNTGGTCGAGCTGAATTGCTTTCAGCGCTCATCGGACTAATTGTGTTGTTTTTATTTTTCAAAATCCGGACTCGTTCGTCAGTTACATGTAAGTTTCAACTGAATTTGTTATTTCCCCCCTTTGGATATCATCATCGTACAGCAGTATACAGTAACGTGAACTTCGCTGTTAAGCTCACAACGAAGACAAAGTAAGCATGAACGTACTTGAATAGGAAAACGAAGGAGAAGCAAAAGTGAATCGCTATGGTCAACAGAGCACACAGCCGACGTGGCAATACATACATCCGAGCCTCCTAACCAAATAAGAAGTAAAAACAAGGGAGCATGTCTTACAATTTGCTCCAGTCGACTAGTATCAGTATTTTTGAATCCAACCTAGGAGATGGGAGATATCCACCGTAACTAATTTTTGCAGTTTTTGTCCTCACATTATCTGTTAACCTCCGCGCGGCTTTCTTCACCTCGAGCATCAGCTGCAAACAAAGCGCAATCCACTTGACTGTCAGACGCCTTCGTTTTTGAGGTCGTTTTAATGATGAGGTTTCTAGAGGTGCTCCCACACACTTGATGCCTTACCTCGGTGTTGCTGATGCTCTTGCGTCATTCGGCTTGTACTAAAGTACTTTAATATCAACTACCAAATCCTCCAATTGACGAATGTATTCTCCATGCAAACTCAGTTTCGCAATCGGCAAACGAAACTGGTCACACTGACAATATATGGAACATCACAGCGTCAGGGGACCGTCAACATTGACAATATTTCAGTTAAGCGTACGTCGAAAGAAGCAAAAGAGATCGTTAGTTTGTCAAATGTCCCTTGCTCATCTTTTTTACACTCACAAAGACAGACGCTCTTACTGGTCTACGCCTGTGGACGCGTACCAAGCTCTCTTACATGCTAGCTTCTGCCTTATTCTTTGAAGAAAACCACAGCGTACACTGTAGAGATGGATATCTTTTGTACAATGTAATCGATAGCTACAAAACAGACTTTGCGGTATGCCTGTCCCAAAGGATGAAAGGATGAAAGTTGGAGGGAAAGACTGAAAGACAACGTAAAACAGGAGCCAGCTCGGGAGTACACATATTGAGGAATACCGTCTGGACCGGGTGGTTTGTTTGCGTTTAGAGAGCGCAATGTTTGACGGATTTTCCTAGTGCTGATATGAGGTGTGAAAGGGTTGCCGGTGAAGAAGGAAGAAGGTGGTGTAGAAAAATGAGATAAGGTAAAATTGGCAGCAAACTGGGAAGAAAAAACCGCTTTCTCGTTTGGTTGGCATACAAGATCACCAGAGGAGTTTCACATAGGGGAAAAGTTGGAAGGGCAGAAACTACGGGAAATTGCTTTGGCAAGGGACCAGAATGTTCGGCTACTGGTGGCGGACGAGACCAAGTTTTCGGCTTTACGGCGAACGAAGCGTTCTTTGGTTCTCCGAATGGTCGTCGAGCATCTGTTCCTAGCTNNNNGGGGGGGGGGGGGTGGACGAGCGGCGGAAGGCTGAACGTTTCAGGCGTACAGCACGGTCGTATGCATGGTTAAACCACTCAGGGGATTTGGGTTTGCTGGGTTGGGAAAAGTGCAGAATAAAAAGATGCATACCTTGAAGAACAGTGTCGGTGAAGTTGGAAACAGATTTGCAAACATCCGAAGAGAAACAGCAAGGATAAGCAGCTAGGAAATCACGGAAACCGTCCCAGTTGGCTGAGTTGTAGCGCCAGAATGTGTCTCGAGGTGAGTGGTGGCTCGGGATTTGAAAACCTAACAGAACAAGAAACAATACAGTGGCCTGATGAGCCAAGAAAAGGGAGGGTACCAATATCTTAGAAGAAAGAAGGGACCGAAGTGAGAATTAGGCCGAGAGTGTGGGCACGATCGCCAGCTCAATCAGGGACACGTCTGGGGAGGTCAACTAGTTGGCTCAGGTTGTTGACCAAAGCGAAGTGTTCGGCTTCGCGCCCCAAAGGAAAAGTAGCAGATGAATGTGTCAACCAGTGCTGATTGTGAACGTTAAAATCTTTCGAAATGGTAATATTGCAGTTGGGGTCGATTGCAAACAAATATTCAATGGTCGAAGATAGAAAATCAAAGATGGAAGAGTCGCCGCTATTGGGGGAACTATACAGAACACAAAAGTAATGATTGAAGGAAGGAAGTCGGAGTTTTAGCCACATCAGCTGAAATTCGTGATTTGAAAATTCAAGATTTTGGATCCTAGTTTTCACCGGAGACGTGATCTTTTAATGCAAAGTGCCTTCGGCAGTTATGCTTGTTGGATGTAGTTGCTAATCTAAAGTATACTTGGTAGATTGATAGCTGGGAGTTTTCACTTGTGTATCTCACTCTGTTTTATCATCATTGCCGATGATTCTGTTTCTTGGATTGTAATTACTGTTTATTTTCCTGTGCTAACTTCAACTAAATACTTCCCGATTTTCACTAGCCTTACCAACCACCAAGATTGTCTATTAAAACGCATTTGCACTAGAATTATGTTTTGTGATTTATTTGTTTTGGAATTTCTCTTCATTGGATAGATTGGATTGGTATATTATCTATCGGTCTCCTCATTGCCGTGGGAACTTTGTGCAAAGAACAGTGTATCACAATTGTTGGCGTTCTTGCAGCTTACGAAGCCGGTATCCGCTATACGGTAGCTTTCTGTTCATAGTTACTCACACTTTCCACAGGAGGCTTCAATGCATTTACTAAGCCAAAATGGGGGCAGTGTCAACCCTGTGGGACTTTCGAAACAATCTGACTCCAACCCACAATCGCGTTTTCATTCCATGACTTCAGTTGCTCGAATACCTCGAATAATGTGGATCGCTCTGTCAAACTTGGTGAAATCACGGTCGATTTGTACTGTCTGTGTGCTCCTCCTTGTTTCTGCTGTCATAATGTATGTGCGCGTTCAGATCATGGGCGCCCAATTGCCACATTTCACCGAGTAAGTTTATTTTCTACACTTCCGATCCTCATAATCTTGTTCGCCCAGTTTTCTCTTCGATTCATTGTTCGGTCGGGTATCCTCTGATTTATCGTTTCTTTCCTGTTCGCGTTTTTCGAAACAAAGGTTTCAGTGTCTGTTTCGAAACGGTTTATGTTGTACCACTTTTAGAAGGTATACGGTTATTTATGGATTTTACTAACTGATGCTCAACCGAAGTCGTGAATTTTCACCATTTTCACCTAATCTGTGGAGATTTTCACACTGATTTTTTCTGGACACAGGCAGCAACTGTGTGTAGAATCATTCTTATCGATGAACCGTAAGTCGCGTAATTTATTAGGTGAATCAGTTCTTTGGGCAATCGTCACTTTCTCTGTCCACGTCTCAATTATCTTCTATAGAACAATTTGGTATCCTCAATGCTAACACGCATTAGGGTTTACGGGAGATGGTATGTCTTGACGGTTTGAAGGTCTATGCAATAATTCAATTGATGCAACAAAAGAAAGTCTACCAGATGACGAGCTTTCGTACAGTGTTGATTGCAAACACCCAATCAAGATCTGCATACTGCGTTAATTGAAGTTACCATGGCTTCCGTAGTCTTGCAATCATTAAGTATCCCTTTTGTCTAACAATACTGTGTCAACGGATTCCCAAATGGCGGTTATTACATGCAAAAGCTGTTAGGACGGAGCCTAAGAAACCCGTCCGATCGCGCACGCCTCTGAAGTCAGCAGGCTGAAGACACAGTCATCATGTCTGTGTCGGTGGAATCAGATTTGCAAACCCAAATGACGGATACAATACGAGCGCTAACCGTCACTTTTACTGAAGTACAAGGGGCAACCAGACAGGATCCTATTTTGCAACAAGTCGCTCACCACCATCGCACGCATTGGCCAACGCACATGTCGGAGCCCTACAACAGTTTTACCGCCGTCGAGAATCTATAATCAATGGTGGACGATTGCTTCCTGTTCTCCGAACGCATCGTCATCCCACAGGCACTGCAACGCAGAGTTCTACAACAATTTCACGCTGGCCACTCAGGGATCAACCGCATGAAGGCCCTCGCCCGAAGCTACTTCTATTGGCCTAACATGGACCAGCACATCGAAGAGCTTGGACACTCCGGCTTCAAATGTGCCCAAGCAGCCAAGGCACTTGTCAGGACCAACCTCCAGCAATGGCCAAAACTGGTAGCCCCATGGTCACCGGTTCATGTTGATTTTGCCGGACCGCTCAATGGGCACCATTTCCTCGTCGTGGTTGACGCCTACACAAAATGGTCAGAAATATTCCTAATGGAACGTGTAAACACCGGAGCCACCATCAATGTCCTTCGTAGCCTGTTCAGCAGGTTTGGATCTCCAGAGACGCTGGTGAGTGACAATGGCGGTCGATTCACGTCAGCAGTTTTTTCTACGTTCTGTAAACGATCTGGCATAAAGCATGTCCGTGCGCCACCTTACCACCCCCAGTCAAACGGTCAAGCCGAACGTTTCGTGGATACCTTCAAACGAGCACTTCAGAAATCCAAAGGGCAGGGTACCACAGGAGAAGTCCTGGAGATATTTCTATTAAACTACAGGTCAACGCCAAATCCCAATGCTCCGAACGGTGCGTCTCCGGCCGAGGCAATGTTTGGAAGAAAAATTCGTACACCATTCGACGTAATCCTCCCGGAGCGTCAGAGCAAAATACCCCTGAAAGTCGCTCGCCCTACAGCAATGGAGCTGCAGTTCAACCGCCGCCATGGTACGCGGGACCGATCGTTTGTGAGGGGCCAAAATGTTTTGGCGAGGGACTACCGCAATAACGAAGAAAGGTGGACACTTGGTAGAGTATATCGATGCCGGGGAAAGGTCATCTACGAAATCTTAGTTGGTTCTGGAATTTGGGTGCGGCACGCCAACTAACTGAAACCGACAGCCTGCAATGATGAACAGAATCCCGAACCAA